CTCTCTCTCCTGTCCCTTCAGCTCCCCTGCAGCCAGGACCCCAGACACAGGGCTTCTCCAAACATAGCCACTTGACCTCCCAGAGACCCTTCCAGACTTCCCTGTCTCTTGCATTTAAGTCCCCCCCCCCAAAATTGATGATCTCAGAAGTATACTTCGATAATTTTTTTAAAAAATCATTTTTCTGTGAACCAGAGGGCAGAAAAGCAGGACAGCATCTCATGGAGGTTGAGAGCAACAGCTTTTGGAATCTGATGGAGCTGGTTTGAAGCCCAGGCCTTCCTCTTACTAGTCATATAACCTTAGACAAGTTACAAAATTTATCTCACCGTTGAAGGAGAGTTGTTGTGAGGAGCGAGGGTATGACGACTAGAAAATGCTCAGCCCAGTGCCCGGTGCAGAGTAAGAACTGGTCAGAGTGGTGGTGGTGCTGGTGGTGCTTCTGGTTATACCGCCACCGTTGGGGTTCAGATACGGTGGATGGTGAGGTCCCCACTGGTGGCATCACGCTTCCCCACCTTAGAAGCAGGTCCTATGAGTGGACTTACAGCCGTCACTCTTTGTGGGGGGCATTTTCTAAGGCCAAAGGGTGAGCTGCATCCCTGAATAGATATTTATGTTAATTAAACCTTGTCATTGAGGTTTTTCAGTGCTTTTTGGTTTAATCACAAAGTCCAGACCCACCTTCCTTTGGCTAGGGTTCCTCAGGTCCCTGCCCATCAGCACACCATGTCGGGGTTCATGACGCCCTTCCAACAGTGAGGCTCGGGCATCAGAAGCCCAAGGTGGATAAAGTCCACAGGACTGTCCTGGGATGCCATCCGGTTCTGAGAACCTTGACAGCTGTATTTCTAAGATAATGCAGAACACACAGTGAAAGGATCCCTGGTCACAAACTGTCTGCCCTGCCCAGAGGTCCCTCCACCCTGGAAAGACACCCAGCATGGCCCCTTGGGTGCTGAAGGCAGGACAGGTAGGTGTGCCTCCTGCAGTCCCGCCTCGCACCTTTCCAGCTCTCGGGGTGTAGACAGGTGAGCTCACCAGCTGACCTCCACGCCCAGAAGGTGGAAGAGGAAGTCGGCCTCCCGGGGAGGCTGGGTGGGTTCAAAGCAATTTCCCACCCGAAGGTATAGCTCACAGGAACCGCATGACCTTGACCCTGAAGAATACACAGACAGGCTTTGGCTTCTGTAACGGGACTTGATAAGAGAGGTGATGATGGTTCTTTTATCAATAGTCTTCAAAAGCTCCCCGAGTCTTGATTCCTAGAATTAAAAGGGGCTAAGTGGCTCTGTCTTTGGAGACCATCTTTTCCACTCCAACCCTTTCTCGGAAGAGTGAACTCAGGCCCAAGTTCACGCAAAGGAAACAGCATCGGTCCAAGACTAAGGGGAAGCTGAGAGGCAAGTACCAGCTCTGATCCTTGACATCACCGAGAAAAGGCAGAGCGAAAGCCAATGTTCGGAGCTCATGTTAATTAACTCATTTCTCTTTTGCCCTTTCTTTATTGTTCCTAGAAGCAATTACGTGTCTCCTACCCTCTCTCCCACCTCTAGCATAAAACTGCATAAAACTGTCACAGATGAAATCAGATTGCTCAGCCATTTCATTAGGGAGACTCTGGCTCTCGGTCTCTGGGGGCATCTTTGCTCAAATGGAAGCCTCTCTCAGGAAGTTAACCCCTTCCTGGAAGCTACAGGAAACCAGCGAGCAGACCACGGAGGGTGGCTGAGGCCTCTTCCTGAACAGCTCGGGATATAGTGGGCTGACAGGTGCATGCCTAGGGGTGCGCGAGGGACAGAGAGAGAGAGAGAGAGAGAGAGAGAGAGAGAGAGAGAGAAGGCTGGAGTGCAAGGAACAGGGGAGAGAGAGTGTCAGACCTCTGGGACCTGTCCAACCTTTCACGTGTTGCCACCTGGGTACGTTTCTTTTCTTGGATGGACCTCATTTTTCTCACCTGAAAAATGCAAGTCTCAAGTCTTATTATTATTATTATTATTATTATTTCTGTACCCAATTCCATCAGTCCCCTCAAAATCACACAGGAGTCCTTGAGAAGACTTACAAAGTTGATGGGAGGGAGCGTGGTCAGAATGCACTTTGGTAGATAACAAAGTCTTTTTCCCCGTGACTCTTCTGGGGTTAATGTGAAGGAAGGAAAGAGTGAGACATGAAGACTGGATGCTGTTGCCAGAAGGGGCACCGAGGGAGAAGATGGAGCAGGAGGGAAGGGCCGCTGGGATGGCTGCAGGCTGGGAGTTGACACCCAACATAGGGGTGGGGCCGAGTGTCAGGCCGCAGGGAACAGAATGGCATTGCTGGGGGGAGTCAAGGGACGGCACGGTGCACTGTGGTGTGGGGACATGTGAGAGAGTAAGAGGGATGAGGCCGGCGTACATGCTTCAGTTGTCCCCAGAAGGGAGGCTGCCAAGACCTCTCCCCAGCCTGTCCTGCCTGAGAGCTCTCTCCAGGCCTCGGTAATGACAGACAGGGAAGCCGAAGGTCTAGGGTAACTGGTGGGCCCCAGGAAAGCACTGGGAGCAGCATGGAGGTGGCAGGGGCCTCTGGGGGACATCTGTCTATGCACAGCGCACAGGTGCAGTGCTCCGTGTGGGACAGCCAGCTCCTCAGAGTCAGAGACCACTTTCTTTGCTCCTTCCCTGGACTAGACTGTCTAAGGTGGGGGGATCTCAGAGGTGGCACCTTTCTCCAGGTGCTGGCTCAAGGTTCAGGATCGAGCTGCAAGGAGGGAGGCCCCCAGCCGTGGAAATGGCATGGTTTTTTGAGTACCTTTTAGAAGCACATTTTCTTTTCTTTTCTTTTCTTTTCTTTTCTTTTCTTTCTTTTCTTTTCTTTTCTTTTCTTTTCTTTTCTTTCTTTTCTTTTCTTTTCTTTTCTTTCTTTTCTTTTCTTTCTTTTTTCTTTTCTTTTTTTCTTTTCTTTCTTTTTTCTTTTTTTCTTTTTTCTTTTCTTTTCTTCTTTTCTTTTCCTCTTTCTTTCTTTCTTCTTTCAGATTTTATTTAATTATTTGAGAGAGAGAGGGAGAGAGAGAGAGAGAGAGAGCATACACAGAGGGAGAGGGACAAGCAGACTCCCTGTTGAGCGGAAAGCCCAATGCAGGGCTGCATCCCAGGACCCTGGGACCATGACCTGAGCTAAAGGCAGATGCTTAACCGACTGAGCTCCCCAAGTGCCCCTAGGAGCACATTTTTCTGAGTGTCTACACCAGGCTAAGAACTGGGGACAAAGTCAACTGGTCTCTGCCTCCTGGTGCCAGGGCGATGCTGTTAAAACCTGCGTGACTTGCAGAAAGGGCCCTGCCAAGGTCAAAGGCGTCCCTTTGGCTAGATGAGGCCAGTGGGGTGGTGGCCAGATGGGGAAAGGAGGGACTTACATCTGGAGGAGCTCATCATTTTCAGTCACAAAACAGGATCAGAAGATGGGGTGCTTAACTTTGAATGCGTGTCTCATTCCAGCCACACTTTCTGTGGTGCATTATGAGCTTACAGTTCTTGCAAGCTTGTGGTTATCTTAGGAAGAGCACTAGCATGCTATGAACTATCTGAGTGAGGACTGACGAACCATTCATGTAAATATTTAAAGTATGCTAACTTTCGAACAAAGCGCATTTGGGTTTTTCTTATTTGCTAGTCCACTAGGTATCCCATCTTCTCCTCAACTAAATGAAGAAGTGATACAGATCCCCACCCCACCCCACCCCCACCTCTGGAAGGTCTTGCTGAGAGCATAGATCTTTCTAAAATCTGAATATGCAGGGCACAGAGGAAGGATTTAAGGCAAGGGTGGGGACTGGGCTGGCTGACTTCTGGACCCTTTCAAGCTACTCAGTTCTCCATCCGAAACTGCAGACAAAGAGAGGGGTGGAGCATAAGATCACAGATGGGCCAGACAGCAGCTGGGGGGACCCTGCACTAAGATTCTCCTCTCTACCCCCAGGAGACAATGGGTGGGGACCTTCTTCGCTATGCTTCAAGGATCCCGGGAAGACACATTTTCTGAAATCGCTTAAGCTCCCTTCTAAAATGCTCATAGGAGGGCCCAGCATTTGGGTGGACAACCAGAAAATACACACTATAAATAGCAATAATTAACAGGGATTTTAGGCCAGGCTGGGTAATAGGTGCTTCTTGTGTTTTATCTCTGAATTCTGCAGCCACGACCCAATGTCATTCCCGGCAACAGGCAGGCAGAGGTCAATAACTTGCCCAAGGTCACCGAGCTTGCACACGCAGAGCCACCAGGCAAGCCCATTTGGAATAAACGGCGGGCCTAGCACTAGCAGTTCAAATCCGTGCTGAGTGACTTTTAGACAAGATCTTAGCCTCCTGGGGACTCAGTTGCCTCCACCGCAAAATGGGGTGAGGAATGCAGGGACTTTTCCATCATCAGAAGTGCCAGCGGATGTCTGACATGTGGCAGAGCGTGCAAATGGAGCACACCGCAGACACACAGCATTGGGGTGCAGTTTCCCTTCTTCACCGTGGGTTAGAGCGTGTGGAGAAACGCACGCAGGAGAAAGTTGAGGCTGAATGTTGCTTGCCCCCTCTGGTTGTAAAGCTGGCACCTCCTGGGTTTTAGGCACTCTCAACCCCCGTGCATGGGTCAGGGAGGTGGTGGACAGGGTCCTGAGTGGGGTTTCTGGGGGGCTGCAGTCCATCTGAAACCCCCCACACCTTGCACACAAGACACCGCTGGCTGCTTTCCGACAGCCAGGGTGCGGAGGAATGGAAACTTCTGTCACCAACAGCACTTGCTAGCAACTTCCCTCTCTGCGGTTTTCTCTGTCATTCCCTTGATAAAAGACCCAAGGCTGAGCAAATGTACCCAACATTTACGAATCTCATCTTCACATGAAAACACCCGCCCCTCAAGAAGTGAGCTGCTGAAAAATGATGCACGATGTACTCTAAACTGGGTCATTCCTCACCCAGGGGGTTCGGCGCGTGGCTGACTTGCTGTGTGTGTCCCCTGTACCATAGGCTTCGAGCATCTTCGACAGCCCGGGGAGAGAGAGCGATGGGAAACAGTATGCGATCCACCCCAGCACCTCCCGAGAGGCCTGTGCCCAGCCCAGATGGTAAGTCTGGATTCTGGGGTCCTGGGTGTGATGCTTAACTCCATCGCTCGAAAGCCAGGGCCAAGACTGAGAGTGCCGGGGGTGCTGACAGTTGTTGAAACAGGGTACTGGGTGCCTCGGTGCTCACAATACCTGCTTCTCTCACTCTGCTTGTGGTTAACGTTTCATAACTACATATTAAAAAAGATAGAGCAGTGGTGCCCTGAGTGGCTGCTGGGTAGCTGGCATTGCGTGGTGGACCGCTGAGAGCAGCTCGGTCCACCTTTATTTTCCAGGTGGGGAAACTGAGGCCTATTAAGGAAATGGAATCAGCTTTTGGAAGAGTCAGATTTCCAGCTCAGGCCAGTCTGATTCTGCAACCTCGGCTCTTGCCTACCGCACCCCGCCAGCCCACGATATACTATTATCATGGGTTTAATATTATCACAGCTCTGCAAAAGCTTCTGTGGTGCAACTTGATGCAGCTAGATATTAGCTCAAGGAAATCTTCCTGGAAAGGAAGGAATCTTGTGTCCCATTGGTAGGATCACAGGGCCAGCCATCCTGGGGCAGGGCACAATGTCACAGGTTAGGCTTCCCATGGCGCTGGCAGACTCCAGAAGCCAGGGAGACCTTCAGAGACAGCCAGAGAGCCATCGGAGGAGGTCAGTGAGCAGAAGGCAAAGGCTGAGAGTAAAACCCCTGGAGCCCTGGGTGGGCTGGTGGTGACTCACTGTGTGAGTCCGCTAGGGGCTTGGGAGGGGATGGTCCAGAGGTCGGATGATCCCATCAGTGTCCCCAGGGTGAGTCTCCTTGGGACATTTCCACCCCCTATCTGATGTCACAACACTAGTGGTTGGTCTCCCTCTGCTAATGCCCTGAGTCCCCCATGTCCCCTGCAGCTGTGCACCCAGCAAAGCTCCCACACAGATGCCCACCATCCCACTGAGAGCAGACAGTGCCAGGTGCCCTGGCTCTACTGCTCATTCCGTGACTCTTGTGGCCCCTTCAGAAAGGAGGCACCTTCTCATTTCTTCCACAATGGAGATACCCAAGTTATACATGGTCTCATGATCCCTCAGATGCTCCCAAGTGAGTGTGCCAAGTCCCTGCAGCCCAGCCCTCCACCCTAGCCAGATGCATGGCAACTCTAGTGGTTGTTTGTCCCAACTCCCCTCCTTAAACCTAAAGGGGGAAAAGACTAAAAGAATGTTCTCCTGTACAAAGGAGATGGAACCATGTGATGAGGTGGGGCAGCTGGTGTGCATTCTGGGCCCCTTGGCCTCCCATGCAAAGCTCAGAGCTCTGTGCTGCTATACCGAGCAGCCGTCCCTGCGGCTGCGAGGAGGCAGCCTGGGTCCTTCTCCCACCTTCTCCAAACCACCACAAGTCACAGCTTCCTCTTCTAGTCATGGCTACTTGTAGGAAACACCCAGGGCCCCATCTGTTCTGGGAGGCAGGCACCCACCCACCAAGGCCATTTTGCAGGGCTATCTTTCAAGCTGGGGCAGGGGGGTAGCATGCTTGAGCAAACCCCATGAAAACATGGGTCTCCAAGGCCTTGCTCATTTGCTTTTATTTTTTTTAATGCAAATTCTTGTGAAATAAGTTTCTCTTTTTCCACCGTGTGGGTGGGAGGTCACCTCGAAAAAAGAGGTGGAGGGGTCTCCCCAGCCCAACGCCCGCTGGTTAAGAGAATTCCCCAGATCAGACCCAGGGTGTGATCCAGGCAACCACATCAATCACTACCAGCTGGCTTCTCCATCGCCCACCCCTGAAAAGTTTCCCTTGTGATTGGCCCAAATTTGATTTTCTCTTTTTTCTCCGACATCCCCTTGAAGAAAGGAGAGGAAAGTGGTTGCAGTGGATGCTGCATTAATGAGTTTCTAGCCAATGGATGCAGAGGGTTCGGGTTTTCACAGAACAGGCACCGACTCAGCTAACACCCATGCTTACTCATTTGGTGATGCTCCAATAGCAAGGAAGTAGTGCAGGGAGCTGATTGATTTAGGCCAACATACAAGTGGAGCTTCCTCTGATGTTAGCTTGAGTGCTGGAGAATTAAAATCACCCAAAACCCCAGGCCCTACGAAGGGCTCTGCAGAGGGGGCCAGCCTGTAAACAGCTAGACAGATGTGTTTTCTGAGTTTTCAGGAGCATTTTCTTTCCCCCAATCCAGGGCTGTGAATGCCTTGGAACGTGGCTTTGTCCATCTGTTGCCTCCTGAACTAAGCTTTCCAGAACATTCATGATTACTCTAGTTCCCAGAGACTAATGACACAAAATCCCCAGAGGTAGTGGGGCTTGATGGAAACGGGGTAGGTCTCAGAGAAAAATGACCTTGCTGAGCTTCTAGTGTTGCCCCTGTTGGTCGGTCATTTGGCGTTGGGGAAGTCCCTTAGCCACCCAGAAGGGCAGGGCTCGGCTCAGCTCTCCGATGGAGACCAGGACAATCCCCTTCTGATAGCAATGACAGCACAAAGTAGCTACCCGATAAATATGGGGGAAATCACTTTTTCAAACTGCACTTGGGGCCACCTGATTGCACTAGACTATGTCCAAATGCCCATTTAAAGCAGTCAGATTGGGAGTTCCATGACTTGTTTCCTAAACATTTCAAATAACTCATTTTCTCTACAATTCTATTCTTTTTTTAGACTCTTGCTCTGTGCCAGACACAGTACAGAACTGAGTAAGACCTAGGGAACTCCCATGTAGCTGGGAAATGACATATTTCTACCTTAAAGAAAATCTTAAGGTACAATTTCCCCACCACCACCTTGCTTTCTTTCTTTTTTTTTCCTCTCCTCACCTTTTATCACCCTGACTTAAAGCAAGATCTCATTGACAGAGGGAGTATTGCAAACCCAGACACTGTTCAGACTCCTTTCTGTGCAAGTGTGGAAATCACACTAAAGCAGGGCATTTACATAGCATGGAGGGTACTGCCCCATGGAAAGAGGAGATGGGAGGGGCTCTGAGCAAGAAGAAGGGGGCAGGGAGGTCTCTGACCCAGCCTGGCACTTTTCAGTGAATGATTCTCAGACCACCTGCATCAGAGCCTCTGGAAAGTTGTCAAAAAAGCAGATCGTGGGCCCTGCCCCAGATCTGCTCCCCACCCCAGATCTGCTTCAGAATTTGATGCTGGTGCATTTCTTCCAAGGCCCTTGGCTTAAACCGAAAGCTGGCATCCCCAGACCCAGATTTCAGCCCTGCTTCTGCTCTTAACACACAGTGAGAGATGAGAGAAGAAGTCAGCTTGTCTCCTTACGGTCCCTCTGGCCTCACTTGTAAAATGTGATGATGGGAGTTCCTCTGCTTATAACGTGCCAGACGTGATCCCGAGTGCTTTACGCACATCCCGTCTCCCTCCTCTCATCAATTGCAGGAAGCAATCATCGTCACAGGCAGGCCAGTGCCATGGGAGGCAGCCTGTGTCAGATCTTTGAATAGACCCACATTTCCCACCTGGGTCTTACTCATCCCACTTCTGGCCCATCAGATGGTTCTAGGTGGAATGTGATCGTTCAACTCTTTTACACTGAATGCACAACTTCCGTTCTAGCAATGACCACACAAAATACACCTAGTCCATCAAAACATGATTTCACAGTGCATGGGATGGGGCTAAAGATTTTTTTTTTAAAGTAACTTAACATAAAGAAAGACACTGTTAGGTGAATGGTGGTGCAGGTGGTATTCAGTAGCATTAGGAGAAGAGCAGGTGGCCAAGAGCAAGAGTCTGCACCCTCTGAGGCTGGGTGGCTGGGTTTTGAGACCGGGCCCTCAGCTTGCCATCGTGTGCTCCCAAGCAAGTCTTTCCAACTCGCTGTGCCGTCGGAGAGCCTCAGGGCCTACTCGGTCCCCATCCGCCCCATCTCAGAGATGGGGCAGCCAAGATGTTGGACAGAAAAGAACTTGTGAGCCACTATGTCTCACTTTTCAACCCACAATACAGGACCCACAGGTACAACCTATGGTTCGTGGTGATCTGCAGAACTCAGTAGATTTCCTATCAGGCCAGGCTGCCCAGTCCTGTCTGATTGGTTACTTGTGTGTATTTCCTGTAAAGGATGCTCAAAGTAAGGCCTGCTTAGACCCTCTGGAGGCCACGGACTGGGGCATGATTCAAGCAAGTGCAAAACCAGAAGCTGAGAGCACTGGCTTGTTTAGCTCCTTGCCAACCAACTGCACTCAGCTGCTGGTGCCAACTTGGAAGCCTCATTTGGAGTCAGCCTTTGTCCCAACCTGTCAAGGAGCAAGTGTTAAGTGGGGAGAGCCTGGTAATTACACGCCAAGGAGAGCTCAGTGGCCTAGGGACACGACCATGAGCTTAACAAGCCGCATGCTCTCCCTGGCACACTACTAAAACTCTCCCAGCCTTTGTTTCTTCACTTTTTAAATAAGAATGTACATTCCCTAGGGTTGTAGGGAGCATTGGGAGTAATGACAGGCTGGTTTTGCTAGAATAATAAATGGAATCTACTGAAAGGTTTTTAGCATTTAAAAAGAAATGGTAATGATTCTACAAGGAATAATAATGCAAAAAAAGGCAGGGGGGCCTGTCCTCCTTTGACCAAGTAATATCTGTGGCTAGTAAATTCTGTATGGGTCCCTTTCTGTTTTTGGATTCATTTCCTGTTTTAGACTTTTGTACATTTGGTTCGATATGATGCATGTTCAAGTTGAACCATCAGTAAATATTTGGTCTTCTGGATTTCATCTTCTGTTCTCACCAAGTGGAGTTTGCTCTTAGAAGAATAGAATAGTTTCAAATTTACGCATCCAGAGGCTTTTCAAAATTTAGGACACTGTCAGCTGAAATCGGTCTTGGACTATGTAACGCTCATCTCAACCATCCCATAAACATGATATCAACGTGCTCCTGACCACCCCGTGGAGGCAGGTTCTATACATATGCTGCATCATGCTTCTGATCTCAATCATATAGGGTAGATTTCAATATTTCCCATTTTTATACATGAAGAAATCAAGTTCAGATTGGTTAAAAATAAATCTCTCCCCAAATCGCAGAACAATTAAGTGGTGGAGGTGGAATTTAAGCCAGGTCTGATTGATTCCGAAGCCCATTCTCTCTTCTGAAAATCCTCTCTGGATTTCTCCCTTATGCACGGCACATTTCTTCACTCACTTTGTTTCCTTATCTTAAATTTGCGATAATCCCGTCCATGCCTCTCCTTGGGACCAATCCCTTCTCTGATTTAATTCTAGGGCTCAGCCCTCCACAAAACTTGGGCCTGCAGGAGGACCTGACAGTGTGTTTGAGCTTTATGAGCAAACTTGACTTTCCCCCTTTGCGTGTACTCTACTGTAGGGACCTAGTGAGACAGGTGGCAGGGATGGGCCTGAAATCCCCACAAAGGACCAGGCCAGGGACATTATTTTTAAGCAAAAGTCCCGAAGCCAGGCTTTCTCAGCGACGTTGAAGTGTTATAGCTATAAAAACATCGTTATTACGGAAATTCCACAGGAAACTCCACACTGTTATTGTGAAATTGAAACCCTCTAGTCCCTGAAGCCTCTTTCCACTATTGAGACAATTGTTTTTATTATGGGATTGTGTTTTTTGTTTCTGTTTTTAAAGTAAGGAAAGGCGGTTGTTCTGTTTCACAGTCTTCGACGGGGAATCAGACATGAAAGCCCCAACCCCCGCACAGACACAAAGTCTATTTCAAGGTTCTGTGATGGGCTCAGATAACAAACGCTGTGCGCCTCCTTCCGACACTTGTTTTTCACAAGGGGTTGGGTCTGTGATGACCGCCATCACGCTGCTGCCACAAATCAAGTTTCCTTCTCTTGGGCCGCTTTAGGCAGCAGGATGGGAGCTTTGAAGAGCCCTGTAGCACAAGCATGTCTCCTTGTTTTCACGTCAGGAACCTGCTCTGAGCATCTGAGATGGGGCAGCGGGTGCTGGAGAGGACTGCAGGACAGCTCCTCCTGGAGTTCACACTCATTCCCCCAGAATCACGCAAACTCCAGAATACAACCTGGATAATTGCATCAAAGGAAAAGCCTAGGGACCCAGATGGGAGGTCAGAGCAGAGGCACTAGGCAAATCTCCTGGGGGTGGAAGGGTTGAGAAAAGGGAGAGCAGATGCTTTCCTGGCAGAAGGAGCAGCCTGTTTGCAAGCCCTGAGGATGGGGCATCCTGGCAAATTGAGAACACGATGGCTCATCCTCATCATTCACTGTTCCTGAGACAGTGAAGAGACCATGTTAATAAGTAGCCCCTTCGGGATCCCTGGGTGGCACAGCGGTTTGGCGCCTGCCTTTGGCCCAGGGCGCGATCCTGGAGACCCGGGATCGAATCCCACGTCGGGCTCCCGGTGCATGGAGCCTGCTTCTCCCTCTGCCTGTGTCTCTGCCTCTCTCTCTCTCTGTGTGACTATTATGAATAAATAAAAAAAATTAAAAAAAAATAAGTGGCCCCTTCATTTTGGGGGCCATTAGCCCAGATTTCCATCATGAAGATGTTTTCTAATCTCTCATTTTCCAGACAATGCAGGCCTAAGAAAGGGAGGCTGCAGCCCCACTCAGAGTGCAGAGTCAGTCTCATAATCAGGGCTACTCTACGGGGAAGCTAACCAAATCCTCTGTGTTAGGCCCTCCTTCACTGTCACCCCATCTTCCTAGGGACTGTACCGGGCTCTGCATTTGCAATTTCTTTTCTGTTCTTTTTCTTAAAGAGGATTTCCACATTTGCATGGGCTTCATGCCTCACAAAATCTGGATCCACCCTTTATCAGAACTCAGGACTTCTGGCTTCAAGCCCAACAGCGAGGCTGCCTTCCTACTACTGAGCTGGGTCTGGGCTACATGGGGAAAGAATCCTTTAATTCAGCAAAGCAGCATGTGAGGGAAGTGTCCCCATAGGCTCAGGGGAGGCTCCACGGGGTCAGCCACTCCCTGGCCAGGCACAGCTCCTTCTCATGAGGCCCGACTCCTTTCGGTGATCTTGGCCAGCATGAATCACTTTTGGTTTCCATTTCACGCCTACAAATGATTGCTTCTGGCTGCATTATTGTCTGCAGCTCAGCTTCCCCAAATGAACAATATACTGGAATGTGCGGTTCCATGGTGATAACTGGCTTCTGATTCACTCTTACACGTTCTACTACTGAAGCTATCTTTGGGTTTACTCTATCCGGGCACTTGTGAGCTGCAGGGTCCCCAATATAGGAATTATAAGAGGCAGGGTCTGTACCCCACAAAATGGCCAGTTTGGGCCACCAAGCCTGCCGTGCCCGAGTGCTGGGATTTCTCCAGGTTTTTCTGGGGTGCAAGGGGCAGGTGATGACTCTTCCCATGATTACTTATGGACTCTCTAGAATGTGAGCTCCATTAGATGCAGGGAGACTTGGCTTGCTTTTATTCACATGTTCGGCCCACAGTAGGTGCTCTGAACAATCACTGAGCAAGTGAATACATGGTAAGTCACCCAGAATTGTGAGTGCAGATGCCCAGCCAGCCGACAGAGCAATGAACCCGATGCCATAGCAAACGGTACTGAACTTGCCCATTTATAAGGTATATTATTTTCCAAAAATGCACCCCAATATTACCTTGCCTCTAATGCACCCAAATTCCAGCAAACTGCTAAGGCTGTGAAATAAGCAGCTTTGCTGAGCACCAAAATGTGATTTCACATGTTATCGTTCCTTCTCTGGCTGACAGTAAACTGTACTCACATGAACCAAACAGCACACTTTCCTTTTCAAGACATCACCAGAATTACACCAGAATTACTTTCAATGTACATATGAAGAAAAGTACTTTTCCTTCCACCCGTACTCCAACATTCCTCTTAAATAGATCCCCAGCATGGTGCCTTATATTCGACAAGGAAGAAGTGCTTTGTGGAGCTTCAGAGTTAGAGTTTTTGGGTCCCAGAACTCATGTAGCCCAACCAGACAGCCTATCCCAAAATGTGACAGATGGGGACCTGCAAGCCCTAGGCCACATAATAATAATAATAATAATAATAATTATTATTATTATTATTATTATTATTATAATGCTTTTATGGTCTCTTATCATTCATGGGGTGCTGCTACCTACTTTCACCTCATCTCAGACAGAAACTGGAATGAAGTATTATTAGCCTCACTTTAAAGATGGGGAAACCAAGGCTAGGATCAGTAGACACAGTGGCAAACCTTGAAGCCAGATCAGCTCAAGGACCTCAGGATCCCCACTTCTCCGAGAAGAACATCAGAGCCAAGGCAGGCCTGGGAATGGAAGTTAGGGCACCGATCTTGGGGTCCCTTCAAGATCCCTGAGCCACCCTCCCTGAAGAGAGGAGGGCCTGTTTTACACTGCTGTTCCAAAGCAAGTCACCTATCTCCAGCCAAGAAGTCCGAGGGAGGGGCTCATGTCCGCTCATCCCCTTCCTGGGGCTGGTCACCTTTCACTTCCCTCTGAAGGAGAACACCCCTTGCCTTTGTTTCCCTAGGACTGGACAGCGACTTCTTGGCCGTACTGAGTGATTACCCATCTCCTGACATCAGCCCGCCCATATTCCGCCGGGGGGAGAAACTGCGAGTGATTTCTGAGTGAGTTGGTTTTCCAAATGTTTCACAATCCCTTAAAATGGGTGAACTCAATTTAAGCGGGAATCGTCAGATTTTAGCAATAGTTGTCTAACTCCACTCGGGCCCTGGTCCAATTATGAGATGAGAAATTTAACCTGTACAGCAGATCCTAGTGCTTAAACCTTAATACCGTCGGTGCTCTAAAACCTTCAGATGCTTCACGTTGCCTAGAGGATTAAATTTAAATTCCTTAACTTGACTTTTGAGGCCCTTTATCGTCCAACTTCTCATGTTGGTCTCACCTTCCATCCTTCCTAGACCAGTGCAGTATGACCTCAGGCAGGAGGACCCAGGGGTCTGAGAAAGCTTCTGATTAGAAACAAAAAGCATTGCCTTCCATCCTGTTGTCTCTCCATGACTCAGAATGGGCTATGGAACAAATAGAGGGCTCTAAGCTTCCTTTATTTAGGTTCTCATTGATACGGACAGAACTATCTTGGTTATATTGTAGGGTGTAATTCTGCGTAGTGAACATTTATTTTTAAAAAGCCTCTAATTCTGACCCATCAGCTGCGGATCCCCAAAAGATGGTTAGTGCCAGCATGTGGGAATGGCTCCTGCTTAACTCGGGATGAGGGATATACTTAAAAACCATATTTGCATATGGAGAAATGTGATCACTGGTGGGTTTTAAAAAAGAAACAGCCTTACGTGCCCGAAGTTAAATCTGATTACTCTGTTCACTCACTCGCTTTGCCACTCACTCATCCACGCATTCCTATCTGTTCTTGTTCTTCCAGTGAAGGGGGCTGGTGGAAAGCCATTTCCCTTAGCACTGGTCGGGAGAGCTACATCCCTGGGATGTGTGTGGCCAGAGTTTACCACGGGTGAGTACATTTCTGAAGTGGCATCTCTAAAGCATGATACTGATGCTAAGGACATGGAGATTCCAGCCTGGAGTTGTGGAAAGAAAGTCTCAAGAGGGTTATGCTTACTCTCAGTCCACAAGGTTTGCCAAGTGACAAGGTGACACTTGGCAAACCCTTGCCCTATCTGAGACTCGGTTTCCCCATCAGTAAGATAAAGGAGCTGGACCTTTCAGCTCCAGTGCTGTGTTCCTGGCACACAGCAAAAAACAGTCAAGAGCTGTGACCAGTGGAGCACAGCTGCTAAAAGTCAGCCTGTCTGTGTTGCCGTCCTGCCTCTGTCACCTGCAGGCTGTGACAGTGGGCAAGCTACTTGACATCTCCTGTCCCAGCTTCCTTTCCTCATCTGTCAAACAAAAATCACAATGCAGAAGGACAGGTACCATAATCGATAGTAAGAGCAAAGTGCAGGCTGTGAGGACTGTGAGGTAGGGTAACCTGTGGATAGTTCCTGGAACAATGCCTGGCATTACAGTAAGCACTTGGTACATATTAGCTATACTCTTATCAAACCCTACCCAGAACACCGAGAACACTTATTGCCCCAAATGCTTACTTACCCAACATGACAAATGGAGAAGTCAAGCAGAAAAGGAGAAATTCTCATCTGCATGGCAGATGAGCAACCAAGTGCACTGCTTTCCCCTGCAGTTGTAGAGACAGGTGGCTCTGGAGCCCAGCACCCCTGGGTTGGCATAGGCAGGGCTCAGTTCCCCAGCTTCCACAGTAGGAGCTCCCCACAAGCTCCCCACCTCCTTGACCCATGGTCTCCTCATCTGTCAAGCTACCAAAGCCAGAGCTTGGCATAGAGGAAAGAAGAATGAAAAGCATCATTTTTTATTTGGAGGGATTCAGAAATAACTGCTTTATATGCTCACACCTGGCAAAGTAGAGTTATGTGCCTACATAGTTTGCAGAATGTAATTCCATGCACTTAATTGCAGCATCATGGATTTTTGATCATGAATATCCAAAGTCATTCCTGAGCCTAGGATGATGAAGGGAAACAGCAGTAGGACAGGAGCTGCTATGACAGCCATATTCTGAAATGTCAGTCACGCAACCCTTCCAAGTCAGCTGTGCGTCCCTGACCCATCCGCTCCTTTGGCAGACATGCATCAATGCCTTCATGTGGAAGACATGGTGCTGTGCGCTGCTGGGGGGGTCGGGTGGTGGGGAGCCCAGATGAGTAAGAGGTAACAGCCCCATGGAGCTTCTGATCTAGCAGATGCAACAGATGTCTTTAAAATATCAAATAGGAAGAGGCGGTGCAGGAGAATGGTTATGGAATTCGAGGTCCCAGGAAAATGCATTGCAATTCTAGCTTTACTACTTTTTTTTTAAATTTTTATTTATTTATGACAGTCACAGAGAGAGAGAGAGAGAGAGGGGCAGAGACACAGGCAGAGGAAGAAGCAAGCTCCGTGCACCGGGAGCCCGACATGGGACTTGATCCCTGGTCTCCAGGATCGCGCCCTGGGCCAAAGGCAGGCGCCAAACCGCTGCGCCACCCAGGGATCCCCTCTAGCTTTACTACTTGCTGACATAGAGCAACTTGGACGAATTACTTACTCACTCTGACCTTCAGTATCCTCACTGGTGAAGGAGACACAATACTACCTGTCTTAAGGGGTTTATATGAGGGTGAGATTTCAATGCCCATAGGGGCACCTGGGTGGCTCAGTCAGTTAGGCATCTGCCTTCAGCTCAGGTCATGATCTCAGGGTCCTGGGATTGAGGCACGCATGTCAGGCTCCCTGCTCAGTGGAAAACCTGCTTCTCTCTCTCCCTCTGCCTCTCTCTCTCTCTGCTCATGCTCTCTCCCTTTCTCTCAAATAAATAAATAAAATCTTAAAAAAAAAGATATTCCAAAGCCCATAATTTGCATTATGCCTATAATTAGTATTCATACATGACTGTCACTATTATTTTTATTGTATTTGTTCCCATGAGTGGAATTTCCTGGAGGGATAGGGAAGGATGAATATTTGTCGCAGACACTAAAATAATTAATACACCATACATTGTGCAGAACTAAGGGGGTAGTTAAAATATGAAGATGAATCATCATCTTAACAACAAAAGTGCTCTCGGAGGCCAGTATATAAATAAACAGTATCTGATTATATGTCTATGGTCTTCTAAGAGTCTCCCAGCCACAGTGTTAAAATGACTCGCTTGCGTGCCTTGGGGATGCCAAAAAGGTACGATGCAGTGAAGCATTGATACTTGCCACGGCATGTGCTAATTCAGAACTGTGGATTAAAAGCCAGGGGTTACCCCCTGAAATACAGAGACTGTTAAAAGGGAGGTATAATTGCTTCTGAGCACACCCCAGCCAAGTGTTAACAAAGCATTTCCTTCCACGCTGGGATCTGGCTGGGGCCACTCTGCAAAATGAGGAAGTGGCTGCTTCCTTAGAACATAGATTCCTTTGTGCACGGAGCTGCTTTCTAAAGCACATTCAGGAGTGTTGGCTCTTCTATGGAAGGTGAACAGTCTGTTGGACACCACAGTATTACAACTGGACCACAGTATTAGAACTGCCTTTTTTTGTTGTTTTTTATTCTTAAGTAAAAAAAAAAAAGAAAGAAAGAAAGAAAAGAAAAGAAAAGAAAAAAGAAACGCAGAAACTTGTCAATGCACTGTGCAAGCAATGACAATTTGACAACTTTCTTTAAAATTAGTTGAACAAGAGAAGACAGGACAGAAGGACAGAAATATGATGAATGCCAAGGGGGGCTTGTTAAGTTGGTGGAATTATGCACCACCATGTCTGTCTTTCTTGTGCCCGTGTCATCTACTCATTCACAAAAATCAAGGTATCAAGCTTGATAATGTGGACGCAAAGATGAAGCCCAAACAGACAGACACAGTCGCTGCCCTGGTGGGGTGGTGAGGGAGCGATGGGGTCGCTAGGGGTTAAGACAGAGACCTCAAGCAACATGCCACCAGGTACCATATCGTGGTTTAGAATGCTTCTATGTCATATGATACAGAATGGGCACAGTCCCGCTGGCACTTGAGAGCAAGATGGGAAAGATGTTTTATGCATCGTCGTGTCCTTGCTGTCCGATGTAACACCTGGAGTCCAGCAGGCACTCGGGAATTTTAGTTGAAAGATCAAAAGTAGGGAGGAAGGGAGGAAGGAAAGAAGAACCGATTGCCCACCTTTTTTCATATGAACTGGACTTTGTTCTTAATCTCGGTACCACCTGCCTGTTGGGGGAGGGTGTGCTCAGGGTACTCATGCCATCCTTCTATTTCCCAGGTGGCTGTTCGAAGGGCTAGGCAGAGACAAGGCAGAGGAGCTGCTACAGTTGCCAGACACAAAGATGGGGTCTTTCATGATCCGAGAAAGTGAGACAAAGAAAGGTGAGTGGCTTCTGAGTCCCCTTTCTGTGCCAGGGCTGAGCTGAGCAGCTTTTGTTCCAGGCTGACTTGTGACACGGGTCATTTTACCTCCTCCCATGACACATGTAAACCCATCTGATCTGGTGAGGTCCCTGCAGCCTACCCCCAGCCTCCCCAAGAGGCCAGCATCAAAGCTAGGGACCTGGGGTGCCTGGAGGGCTCAATCGGTTAAGCGTCTGCCTTCGGCTCAGGTCATGATGTCAGGGTCCTGGGATCGAGTTCTGTATCAGGCTCTCTGCTCAGTGGGGAGTCTGCTTCTCTCTCTCCCTCTTCCTTTGTGCTCACATTCTCTCTCAAATAAATAAAATCTTAAAAAAAAAAAAAAAAGGACCTAAAGACAGGGAGCAGGGACCTGGCCGAACAGGGTCATGGCTGGACTCAATGAGTCCCGCAGGCTCCTGCTGGGAAACGTCCTATCAACTGGGAAGGAAAGCAAATAGCAGGTGTAGGCGGCACTGGGCTGGAATGAACAGGCTTCAGACTCGGCCTGGCCCATGCTCTCAAGCTCTGTGCCGTGGGTGGGACATTTGCTTCTCCGAGGGCAGTGGTCTCATCCATGGTGCCACTCAAAAATAATCGTATTTATAGTGCTCTTGCTACACAGGAGACCTGCGACATTGGTCTCCCCCGTGCCCTACAGTGAATTCACACAGCTTAGAGAATCAGGTCAGGCAGGTTTACCTTCTTACCTACTCACCGCGATCATTATCGTCATGACTTCCTTACATCTTACACATAAATTCAGTGAAAACAAAATAGCAGGGCTCTTTGTCACACACTGTTCAGAGCCAGGGCTCTGAGATCTGGTTTTGGCTGCATGCATTGCTGAGAAGGCACCTGTGTCACTAAGTCTGGGTGCCCCTTCCTATAACCTGGGGTTGACAACAGGAAGGTGCTTCGAACAGTATCCAGAACATAGAAGCACTTTAACCCCCAGGAGCAAGCCCAGAGAGGGCTTTCCCAGACTCATGAAAAGGAACATCATTTTAAAAACAGAGGATCCATTCAGGTTCTTAGCCTGCTTCTTGTATCCTCGATAGCAAAGAAGAGAAAATGTGATTATCTGAGAGTATTTCCCCACATACCTACTAAGGGCCAGTGCAGTTTGGAGCTAGAGCCCTTCATCAAAATGAGCATCAGCCTTACCTTGGAGAAGAAAGGACCAGATATAAGAGATTAAAAAAAAAATAATCTAAGAACAACTTTTCTCTCAAAAACTCGAATGTGCTAGGGGAAAACAAGATCAAAGCAAAGACCAAACTTCCTGTGCACGTCCTGGCAGTCCCAGGAGGCGGGAGACCCAGGCTCACATAGAACTTCTAAGCTGGCATGGCCAAGTGAGGGAAGAACCCAGCTTGAGGAGCCAGAGCTGATCTAAAAATAGAGAATGCTGTCAGGCAGATCTGCAGCTGAGCTGGGGCTGGGGCTGGGGCTGGGCTGGAGGCGGGAGGGTAGCGGGCTCGGCTCCCTTGGGTATGCAAAGTTTTGATAATTTTCCACCTGCCACCTTTGACCTGCTCACCCTACTTCCAGTTCCTGTCAATGTTACAGGAAGATGCATGTTGGGCTTCAGAGGGCAGACCCAGGGCCAGGGTAGGAAAGCCCATCAGCATGCTCGGGGAAGACTGTTCGGGACAGAGTCAGACCCATCTCCCAGCTGCCTGCCTCCGGCCACGGCACACAGGGGCCCCGAGCCTCATGGCTCAATCTATAAACTATCTCGTTTCACCATCTAGGGAGTGATTTCACTCCTGGGACCCAGGGGACAGAGCAGGAGGGGCTCTCGAACATGACCTAGGTCTAAGTCTCCCGCTTGCCACTTGGTGGACAGCGAGCGTAGGAGAGGACAAGGTGCCTTGCCCAAAGTCTTGCTCTTCTTCTTTTTAAAAGATTTCATGTATTTATTCATGAGAGACACAGAGAGAGAGGTAGAGACACAGGCAGAGGGAGAAGCAGGCTCTTCATAGGGAGCTCAACACGGGACTCGACCCAGGGACTCCAGGATCAGGTCCTGAGCCAAAGGCAGATGCTCAACCGCTGAGCCACCCAGACGTCCCTAGTCCTGCTCTTCCTAACTCACCCTGAATCGCTACCTTCATGGTGCTTAAGGAGAAACAGCACCTTTTACACATTTCTTAGGGATGTCCAGAAAAAGTCTTCACTGCCACTTTTTTCCAAATTTCCAAGAAAACCAAGTGTAAGGCAGCACCAGGAAGGAGCAGGGACCAGGAAGTGGTATGACGTGGAGGCTTTCCAGAAAAGCGACCCCGGAAGCTCACCAAGAAAAGACTAAGCGGAAGCCCCTGAAAATCTGTTTGCAATTCGGCTCATGCAGCAGGGCTGCTAAGAGTGGTCTCTGCAGGGTGAGCATGGTCCCCGAAGACGGGGCCCTAGAGGCTGCCCCTCCAAATGCAGGAGGGGTGCCTGTCTGGGTGTTCTGGTTGTCTCCCAAGGCTGAGGAGGCGTCTCGGCCGCCGTGGTGGGGGTCCCCCTCCAGCAAGCTGCCCTCAAGGGGCCATGTGGGACGCCTCTGACCTGTCCTCCATCTCTTGCAGGATTTTACTCCCTCTCCGTGAGACACAGGCAGGTGAAGCACTACCGCATCTTCCGCCTGCCTAACAACTGGTATTACATCTCCCCGAGGCTCACCTTCCAGTGCCTGGAGGACCTGGTGAATCACTATTCCGGTAAGAAACGCCCCGTGGGGACAGATCAGTGAAGCTCCCTCTGTGCTCACTGCCCCGTGGTGCCTGCGGCTAGGCCGTGCACGGGTCCCCGGTACCTGCCAGGTGACCCACCTGGCCCTCGCCCCGCTCCCTTACCCCGCTCTTCTCTTGCTAATGCAGACTATAGGTTTCAAGCTAGAACAGGCTGCCTGTGGAGGCTGCATAAGTAAGTAAAACACAGCAGATCTCAACCTCACCCTCTTCCTACCTGCAGATGGAGAGAAATAGGATGGCCCGATATTTGCAACCCCAAACAGGTGGCACTTCCTCAAGGGGACTACAGGTTTAGGGGCCGCTGAGGCTTTGTTCTGCAATGCCACTCATTTCCCTTCCTGCCTAGTAAAATCCTCCTCTGCCTCCAAGGTGGCAGGAAGCCACGTCCTTGCTACTCGTTAGGAGTCAGGTTGATGGCCTATCCTCTGGGCTCCCATGGGTGCCGGCGTTTCCCCAGAACGGGGTCCCTCTGCCTTGTGACCTGGTGAACCATGTCCTAGTCTGGCATTCCCAAGCACTTTGCTCATTTGGATATGCTTCCCCACGGCCCAGGAGGGAGGTCCCCGTTTTCCACACTGGCCAGGATGGGGAGCACCCTCCAAGATGACAGCAGCAGAGCGGATTTTGATGGAGGTGACGGGAAAGAGTAGAGTCAGAAGCAGAGATCAGAGTCAGACTGTGACAGGCCTGAATGCCGGCCCAGGAGGTGACATTTTACCCCATGGGAAAGGGAGGGAGAGTTAAAAGTTGGTTCTGGAACCTCTGTTCACACCCCAGATTTTCCGGGCAACCTGGGTTGGTTGTTCGCCTTCCCGCCTCATTTTTCTTCTCCATGTAAGGTCCTTATTCCTTGGGGTGCTATGAGGAATCCTCAGGGTAGGGCAGGGAAAGCACTGAGGGGAGGGCCTGACACGTGAAAGGGGGCTCCTGCTCACTAACATTGGCCTCTGTCCCTTGGCCAGGACCTCTCCTACCTCCTCCCTTCCCCTGCCTACCAGAGGGAGGAAGAAAGGAGCTGCTCTTACTTTGTAGGCGTCTTCCCACTTCCGGGTTCCGGACCTCACACCCCTGGGTGTCTTTGCTAGTGTTCTATAGGGTGTGCGGTCGTGGAGGGCGTTTCTCAGTGAAAGGAGCCCACAGGGGCTGGGTTATCACACCTGGCTGGTGAGAAGGGGATAGGGCATGGAGGAAGCATGGCCTCTTGGGAGACACAGGCCCACACTTGGATCTGGGATCTCTGAGATCTTAAGAAGAGACCTTGCCTCTCTCAGAGCCTCAGCGTCCCATTCATGGAAGGTGGTTGGGAACAGCCCCCTTGCAGGTGGTTGCAGTGACTGGATGGTTCATGTAATGTGCACCCTAATGTAATATGATGTGTCCATCATCACAGCCTGGAGCAGGGTGGATGCAAAATAAGTGATACCAAATGTTATTTCTGTGATACCTGGAAACCTAGCCGCTTTGTTAAAAATGAAAGAGGAAGGGAGTCCTGGAGATAGTCAACTTTTACTGATTATGAGTAAAGGTTGGTTGTGGTATTGGGCTTTTAATAACAATCATCGAGAGGTGAGGAGACCATAAGTTTTGCATAAACAAAAGCAAACATGAAAAGGATGCTGCCCCAGCAAAGATTTTACAGACCGGGAGACCCGCGAGGCTTCCAGGCCGAGAGAACCCAAGGAGCTGGCACCAGTGCAGGAGCAGAGTCTTCCTGAAATAAGTCCCTGGCCACTATGTCAGTTCATGGATCACACTCATCAGTTCACTGCTGTCCAGGGTCTGAAACCCTGAAATGCTACCTGAGCCCCTGGGGACCCTGGAGTGTAAACAACGTGGCCAATTTTACCTCCTTCCAGATTCTACCTAGAGACAGAGAAGCAGAAAAATTGTGCGCTAAGCGGTCTGAACAGACACCTTTCTGTTCCAGATGGCTTATATTTATTACCTGGTGCCTTGGGAATGTTCATTAACATCTCAGAGCCTCAGTTTCTTCATATATAAAATGGGGATTTTAGTCCGCATGCCTCTTATGAGACCGTTGTTAGGACCAAAGGCAAAACCAGGAGTGTAAAGGTCTGGCCCCTAAAAGGATCCTGTGCATGGTGGTGACTGAGAGGACAGAGCGGGTGGGACACAAGTCCCCAGATATGGCCAGGAAAGCAAAGGGCTGAAAAGGGGGACCCTTGAAGGTAAAGTGGTTGGAAGTCCAGGAGTGTGAGAAGAATGAGCGTTCTGGAAAATTCTGTATAGTAGAGAGAATGAGGCGAGCATGTCCAGACCCCTGAGGCATGTAGGACCTCTCTGTCTCCCTGTTTCAGTGTCTGGTTCCGAGTCAATGGGGCAGGTTTCATTCATATTTCCGTGACCTTGATCAAGTGACCTGACCCCAGGGCTCCTCCCTGAAGCGGGTGTAACAACACTGGCCACTCGGAGCCAACGGGGCCTCGCTGAGAGGCGTTGGGCCTAGCTCAGCGCTGCGCTCAGGTAGGGTGCTAGAAAGTCAGTTCTTTGACTCATTGCAGGGAATCCTGCTCAGCTTCAGGGTTAACGGCTCACAACACTCCTGCCCGTGCTGTCTACTGGCACTGGTCGCTTCAGCCTGTGTCTGACTCCATCTCCTCACCTCCTAACCTGGGAGGCCATTTCAATTTCCAGCCCATGACAGGTCATTATTTCAGATGCACATCCAATTAAGCTCCCCTCATTCTCAGGATCCAGTCTCACATTTCTCGGGGAGGGGGGACAGCGTAGGTGGACATTTGAGTTCACGGTGGAAGTCAGATTGGACACCAAGAAACAAGGAATTACTGGCCGCCACACTCTGCTCCTTGGTAGGAACACCCAGAGCTCCGTCAATTAGGTTGGAAGTGGAGGTGGCCAGAGGTGTCATGTGCTCCCTAAAACCTGGTGATGGATCAGCCCCAGGACAGGGGGTTCCTTCCTGCTGCAAGCCAGCAGTGTCTCATGTCCTCAGCCACGTCACGTCCCCTGTGCCAGGGTCTGCAGCCTGAACTAGGCCATGCAGGTTGTAAGAACATCTGAGCACAGCCAGAACCAAGGCTTTCCCACAACCACGGGAGGTGGAATCTAGAATCTACTGCTCCTGGAGAGATGAGCAACTCTGGAAGCTCAGATAGTCCACACTAGCTGGGGCAGCAGGCAGTGACTTTCCTTCTCCTTGTGTGTGAGCATCCAGGCTAGAGAAGAGAGGTTTTTCTTCATTTTTTCCCCATCTGTCCACCTTCTCTTGTTTGCTTTTATATTTGTTTTCTTCCTCCTTTATTTCTGGTGTCTTTTCTTTTCTTTTCTTTTTTTTGTTCTGTAAAATCTTTTACTCCTTCTACCTTCCTGTATTCCCGCCCTCCTGCTCTCTCCTTCTTCCTTCCCGTCTTGGTTCTGAGTGTGTTCTATCTTCCTATCTTCCTGCACCTGTCTCAGCTGCCTGTGTGGGAGGAAGTGCTGCTCCAAGGACCTGGACCCCGTGTTGATCACAGCACACTTGACCGAGCCATGCTTGAGCATGAAACCCTTGAGGCTGGGCCACCTGAGGGTGCTCTGCTAGCTGTTCCCACTTGTTAGCCTGTTCCAGGAAACTGAGGCTCAGAGAGGTTTAAGGGGATTCACTATCAGGGGTGAAGCTGAAATCCAAACCCAAGGGTAGTTGATTCTGGATCCTAATCTTAATGCTCCACCTGCGTTGGGTTAAGCAAAGTGTGTATTCAGGGCACATTAACATCTCTTAAACAACTGGACGTGTGACTCTCCATCCTGCCACGCCTCTTTCCTGTCTTGGCCTCAGTTTCCTCATGTGAACAACTGGGGAACTGTACTGGATGGTCCCTCAGGCCCCACTGCCCACACTGGTTAGGGCAGCCCGGAGTCACTGACCAGTCGTCTGCTTCCCTCCTTAGAGGTGGCCGATGGCCTCTGCTGTGTGCTGACCACACCCTGCCTCACTCAGAGCACAGCTGCCCCGGCGTTGAGGGCCCCTGACTCACCCGTCACCTTGCGCCAGAAGACCTTCGACTGGAAGAGAGTGCCCAGGTGAGACATCTATGTGTGTATGCGTGTCCTGCATGGACGTATGATCCCCAAACCCATGTGTGAGCCTGACAGGCAGGCTAGAGCCAGCCCTATGGAAAGCTGGAGGGGGCGGAGACACTGAGCAGATGCACACCCACAGAATCCCCCTGTCCTCTGGGAGGCAGACCCAGCTCCAGGCCTCACAGTCATTGCATGTTAAGAGATATCTGTAGTTAGGAATTGTTGAGTTACCTTGATCAAACACCCATCCAGACATTCCACTGGGAAATTCAAGGAAAATCAGAAATCCGAATTGCCTGGGAGATGAAAAAAGCTGTTCTTCCTTGTAAATAACATAAAGAAATATTCATTCAAATTTGCATGTGGAAGTTAGAGCCATTCAAAGAAATGGTGGTTCAGAGAGGTTAAGTGATTTCTCCAAGATCACACAGCCATAAATGTAAGAAGCAGAATTAGAACTGTAAATTAGAGAACCATAAGTTAACCAGTCTTTTTTTTCCCCTTTTTTCCTTCTCCCATTTTCTTGTTCTCTTTCTATGCCCATCTCTTCTCTCCCTTCCTCTGTCCCATTCTTCCCATGCACAGACTGCAAGAGGACCCTGAGGGAGCTGGGAACCCACTTGGCGTGGATGAGTCCCTTTTCAGCTATGGCCTTCGGGAAAGCATCGCTTCCTACCTGTCCCTGACCAGCGATGACAACACCTCCTTTGATCGAAAGAAGAAAAGCATGTCCTTGATATACAGCGGGAGCAAGAGGAAGAGCTCCTTCTTCTCATCACCACCATATTTTGAAGACTAGCCTGAGAACAGACACCATCATGTGCACCCAAATTAACAGAGGTTGGAACTGTCACCCGGGATTTGGCAGAGAAGCCTAGTTCCCTGGTCCCTGGGGAACTGCACATCTTCCAGAAGCCAAGAGAAGACATGTGGAGACATGAACTCACATCTTCTCTGTCCACATCATGACAAAGGGAGCCCCTCCCTGGTGTCCGATCAGCAGTGAGACATCACAAAATGTTGAATCATGACATGATCAAGCAACATTTCAGAAGAGCCCTGTGTATGTGTGTATGTTCATCGTGTTTGTGGGAAAGATAAAGACATTGTCTCACAAGAAAGTGCACAAGACCGTTCTCCAAAGAACTGTCCAGAGGGTCACACTCTGAGCTCATCAGAGAGAACTTCGCAAAAAAAAAAAAAAAAAAAAGCCTGAGAAAATAAGCCGAAAAACTGTGGCCTGGCTGGTCTAGGTTTGCAAATTGATCCCTCGCAATGAACTTTTCTCACCAACCCCTCAAGAGACCTTTGGTATGCAGCTCCTCTCTTTTGAAGGGACCTCAGTGACACTAAACGTTAATCTTCCTTATCTTCCCTGAATCAGGAGATCCTGGTGGCCTGCTGGTGCCAGAGCCACATGTGCAGGAATCAGATAGCCTCCCTGCTTCTGCAGAGGGCAAGGCAAAGGGGAGAGAGGGAGGCTGCTTGTGGGAAAATGAGAGGGTAGCTCTGGAGCCCTGCAAGCTTTCCTGGTGTCCCCGGCCGTGGCTTCATGGCACAGAAAGAGCTTTCTGACATGATGAGACTCTTGCCAGTACTAATGCACCAGTTGTTCACTCATGATTGCGGGAATAGGTAACTGTGTTAAGTCCCATGTCAGGTGAAAAATAAGAAAAGGAAAGAAGAGAAAAGGAAAGGAAAGGAAAGGAAAGGAAGGAAGGAAGGAAGGAAGGAAGGAAGGAAGGAAGGAAGGAAAAACAGATCAGCAAAGGCAATCACAGTATAGACAGGAAGAAAAATGTACAAACAAATATCGTGAAAGTGGAGTGTAAAGGGAGAAATCAGCTCATGGCTCCAGGGAGACTGGGTCAGTAAGGGTGGCTCGTGAGCTCACGTTTCAGCTGGACCTTCACAGAGGCTAAGTGTGGCTGGATTGAGTAGGTGAGAATGGTTGACTTTCTTGGAAAAAAAAGAAAAAAGCAAATTGATTAAATTCTGAAGAATTAATTCTAAGTCTAAAGAATTAATTCATTAACGTGATTTTTCTGTATCATCAGTGTTTTATTCTAAGAAGGGCCTGGCAGCCACATGAAGAAAACTGCTGAGCTCCAGGAAAGAAGGGAGTCAGAGTGGCTTTAAATCTGTCATACTCATTTTAAGAGATGTGAGAGAGAGCACGGCAAAGTTCTAGAAAAGGGAAGTATTTATCTTGAGGCTGCCATTGGAATCTTGTTAGGAAGGGGGCTGCAGATGCACCCATGACTCATTTTATCCTGTTGGAAAAGGATTCAGGGGGAAGAGGGGGGCCTGTGGAACCCCTCACTGCCTGATATGAGATGTCTGTCTGTTCACCACATGCATTCCGTAGATCTGAGATCACTGTGCTGGTGGTATGTGTATATGCATTTATGTGATTTTCTGTATCATCACACTCTGGTGTGTTTATACAAGAAGACATTTACAGTTTCCCCAAGAATCGCTAAAGGCAGTTTCAAGGGACCAGCCGATGTGTGGGAAATGAATATAACACTGTGGACGCTGACTTCCACCACAAGGCAGGGTGACCTCGCAAATGCCAGATGTTTGTACAATGTCTTAAGCATTGTTTTCCGTTGTAACTAGTGTGCTGGGAACTTTTGGGGAGCACTCAGAGGTATTTCTACGTGGGAAGCATTACCCTTTGCTAAATCATGTATTTATTTCTGATTAAAATATAGCTAATAAATATTTAACCCTTGGAATTCAGGGAGAGCTTTTTGGGTGAGGTGGGTGGGTGGCTCATTCAGAAGCTTTTTTGGCCTTTGAATTTTCAGACAAAGCTGGCCCTGGAGAGAGATGAGAGCAAGGAACATCAAGAAGAACTGTACTGGTTAGCAGCCCAGCTTTTCCTTGGAGTGCAGCCTTAAGAAAACTGGCTTTTGTGAATTTGGAGGGTGTCTTATGAAACTTGAAGATGGACATGGGGCTGGGGGCGGTCAGGGGAGAGAACAACTTCTTAATGATTGCTATGAACATCTTACCTCACCTGGATGACTTCTGCAGATCACTTATGATACCTCTGCTTTCTGTTTTTCCAAGAATTTATTTCTACTCATTTTTTTTTGACAAATTACATACTAGACTTCGATCCAGGCCCTAGGACTGTAGCAGTGAAAACCAGATGAGGCCTCTGATATCACAGAGCTTGAGATCATAAATAAACAAGAAACTTTGTGACGGTGGGGGATGTAGCACAGAAAGTGGAAGAGGCTGCTAGACCTGAGCATGACAGGGCAAAGAACCATTTAACTGGATGCTTGCTTAGGAAAGGCCTCCCTTCCAGTGGATACATTTGAGCTCCCATTCTAGCTGAGGCCTGAAAGATGAACAGCCAACAGCCAGGCAAATATCTAGGAGGAAAACCAGAGGCAGTAGAGTTAAGCAAGGCAATTCCTGTGGGCACGGACAGGGCTATCTGAGAAAGAAGAGCCTGGGTGGCTAGGCTGAGTGAGCTGGAGCAAAGGGCAGAGGGCTGCCTGCAGGGAGGCAGTTCCCATGGGGTTCTGGATGGGAGTATAAGGGATTTAGGGCCTATTCTAGGAAAAAGACACAACCAAGGGAAGGATCAAATCAGGGAAATGCTATCATTTAATCCACATGTTTTAGAGAGCATGCTAGTTGCTATAAAGAGAACAGACTTCAAATTCTGGTGTTGTATTACCTATTTGACACATAGTGAAAATGTGCAAGCTCTGAGGCATAAGAATGCAGAATTTCAAAATAAAGGGATGGAAAGTTTTTTGTGCAAAAATGAACAAAGGAAAAGCATTGAATTTTGAGACAAAGTGGAATTTAAGGCAAGAATAAACTGTCTAAGGGCAAAGAGAGATGTTACAAAAGGAACAAGACATTAAGAAGATATAATGACCGAACCTGTATTAATCTAACAATACAGTTTCAAAAGATATTAAGCAACTGTTATAGGGAAAAATAGATAAATGGATCATTTTATTTGGAGACTTAAACACACAATTCTCAGAAATGGAGAGATCAAGCAAAGATAAATAGGTAGATAGAGGGTTTCTATAATACTATAGAACTTGTTTGCCAACCAGTGAAGAATACATTAGGTTACAGAGGATGTCCTAATAAATTTCAGAGTCAGCCTTCTCCAAGTCATGCTCCATGATAATAATGAAATAAAATTAGAAGTCAACTTGCAAAAGAATGGGTTAAAATCCTATGAATCTAAAAGCTTTTAAAGAAAGAAAAGAAAAAAAATAAAGGGAAAAAAAGGATACATCTCCTGTGGTTAAGAAGAGCATAATACAAGAAATAAAGACATAGAAATATAGGACACATCGCTACTTCTCCAAATGTCCAGCGCAGGCTGATATAATAGCAAGAGGGACATTATTGCTAGAAACCCATTGACCAGAAAACAAAGAACAACACATAACGAGCTCAGATTTCAACTCAACAAGCTTAAAGAACAACTGATGGTCAAGGAAACGAGGAGAAAGGAAAAGATGACAAAGGTAAACAAAGATGAAATAAGAACTTAAAAAAATAGTAATAAAGAAGATTCAGAAAGCAAGGCATTGTTTAAATAGTAAGACTGATATGATGAAGAAACACAGGAGCGAGAATGACCACGTCAAAGGAGAAGAAAGGCCAATGAGCTGCAGTGCTGTATAGAAGGAGACCTCTGGGGGGAGGGTATCCTTCCCTCCCTCAGTCAGCAAGGCTGACCGCCCCCCCCCCGTCCCCTCCCTGCTGTCCCAGCTGCCCAGACTCAGCCCTACAGATGGGATCCAGGCCCTCATATAGCAGGGAAACACCTAGAAAAAATCCATGCCTCAAGAGATCATGAGATATCTTGGGAAATATTATGATTAAGGAGAACAGAAAGAATAAAATAACATATTATTAACACTCCTCAAGTGTTGGATGTTTTTGCTAGAGCAGCTGTGTATTTTTGTCCAAAGGGTACAGAAATCAACCTGCCAAAATTTACAGATAATGAATTAACGTCATAGAAAATCCAGTAGGGCTAATAGACCAAGTATTGGAAGTGCTAAGAAGGCTCAGCAAATCTGGAGCTGACTTTATTCCCCTATGCCAGTACTGGCCAGCTGGAAAGTACAATAAAAAAAATACGACGTCGTTCGTAATGCCAACCGAACTAGGACCCAGGTAGAGACTTGCCTACAGTGATTTCACAAAACTTCTGTGGAGACAAGTTCAAAACTCTATGAAAAGACTTGAGGAGACAAAAATCCCATTTGTGGTTATGGCGTCAACCAGATTCATGGATGTGAGATTTCACATCACAAAAACAGATTTTTTTTTTGAAATTAATTGAAAAACCCCATGAAAATATACTCAAATTCCCTTAGGACTATTTAAAGAAAATCAGTACATTTATCTTAAAATATGGACTGAGCACATTGGAGCCCACGAATAGCTCAATCAATTCTGAAGAGAAACAGAGAAGAAAGTGCTCAAGCTATGAGGTTTGCATGGAAACAGGATAAAACAGTGCTTGGGCCCCTCTGCTAATTTAATGGAACTCAGCATGGCCTTTGATACCTCCTTCCACTCAGGGCTGTGCTAAGCATTAAGGACACGCGAAGACAAAAAGCTCACCTGCCCTGCCACGCTCTCAGTTTAGCAGAATTGGAATCAGATACGTTAGAAAAACAACAAGTATGTAAGACGAGGCAGGATTCCTAAAAATTGCCAAATAGAAGTCTCTTCAACGTGAGAATGATTCTGTTCTGGAAGGCTTAGAGGGGCCCGTTTCAGCCAAGCCACGTCCAGGTGGAGAAGTGGACATGCCGACCACAGCACAGCTTACGAAAAGGGAGAAGGCATGGCATTTTCTAGGAATGTTGATACTAGTGAGCCTGGAGTCCAGGGTTCCCGCAGGAATGGAGCAGGAAAGGACACGGGAAAATGCAGCCTGCGTCCAACTCATGAGGCCTGGCGCTCCTTCTGAGGAATGCAGAATTGGGGCACTGGTGTAGGAGCGCAATGGAAATCTCTTCTGGGTCCTGTGAATCATGCTGTGGAGGACGCGACCTCCTCTTGTCTTTCTTAAAACTGGCCAGGGCATCAGAGCCACAAAGGGCATGTTTGTAACATGTCACCTCCTCTTCCTTCTTCAACCCGAGTCCCAGGAGCAGGTGCAAATTCCCCAGACCTGCTTTGGTTTGGATTTGCCCTAACTTTGCGAGACAAGGGGGAACCTGGATTTCTTGAGTTCCTGTGGTGCCCGGGACCCTCTACAAACCTCATATGATGACAACTTCTTGAGCCCCTGGGAGACAGAACTAACCATACTGATTTTATCCCTGAAGAATGCAAAAGTGAAGGGTTTTTGCCCAAGGGCAGGATCTTAGGCCAGGCTTGCCTGGATCCTAGGCCTGGGCTCTTTCTCTTAGACCTTAAGATCCTGGAAGAGTCCCCAGGAGAAGCTGCTTCATACGGTGGGGAAAACACAGGACGTGGCTTTAAGTTTCAGCTCTGAATGTGTCTCCTCCTTTTCTGTATGTTCTTTCTCAAGTCACTAGACCTCTCTAAGCCTCAGACTTCCTGTCTCCAGATTGCAAATAATATAAAGACCCCCATGCCAATCAATAAGAGCAATCTATGAGATAATATATTGGAAGTGCCTTGTGGCCCCAAATATGCTAAACAAAGTTATTAATTATCCCAGGAGCCTGTCTTGCTGGGTGTTTCAACAGTTCTGGCCTCAAGATTTGCAGAAAGACTTAAGATTTTATCCAAGAATATATCACCAAGTCACATCCATTCCCCCAAACATCTGTTGGTAAAGAACATGTTTAAGAACCGCTAATGTATTGAAGTATTTTCGTTCTCTCGATTCCAAATACCAAATAATTTCACATGCATCCCAAAGACTGCTGGAGCAGTTGTAAAAGCTGCTTCTAAATGACTAAACCAGATGGAGAGTTTATTTTTAAATACACTACCATTTGCTAAAACAGATTAGTTTTTGAAATTCCCCAAACACCTAAAGTCTCCAGAATTTTCAAAAACAGAACTCTGCCTTCTGGGCCTACTGGAAGGCATTTTTTTTGGTGTATTCCAGGTCCCACTGAGTATCTGGTCTCTGAGAGGCCTCTGGGGAAATCCCTTTAGGAGCAACTCAAAGTGGGGAAGTTCTGTTTTCAATACTAAGAATTGAAAGATGTTTGGGCTCAGACCTCCTGCCACTGAGATGGTCCCACCACAGAGGGAAAGATTGAAGAATATCTGCAACAATGGACAAGAAACAAAAGAAAGAGAGGGAAGGGACCAGCCTGTGGGGCCCTGGGCATATCCCCCCATTCCTCTGTTCATTCACTACCTGGACATGCACCATGGAGCATCTGTTCCAGAAGAGCTGTGTTGGGTGCTTGTGGCCCTATGACAGCAAGGCACAGCCGTCCCCTGCTCTCCCAGAGCTCACAGTCTTATGAGGGAGAGACTTGGCAGTGGGAATACTTTTTTTTTTAAGATTTTTTTTGTTCATGAGAGACACACAGAGAGAGGCAGAGATAGAGGCAGAGGGAGGAGCAGGGTCTCTGTGGGGAGGCTGATGTGGGACTCGATCCCAGGACCCCGGGATCACGACCTGAGCCAAAGGCAGATGCTCAACCACTGAGCCACCCAGGGG